GGGGAGCCTCAATCCTTTTCTCCTCACGTTTTCACAAGACTTCTCACCTAGATAATGCCCAGTTGCTTCTCCCCGTGGAGGTGACATCCTTGCCTCATGCTTCTTGACTAGTGGTGGGGAAAACTATCAAAAAGTTGCAAAGACTAGAAATTCATTCTTTCTTGCCTCTCTACCCCAGATGAGTCAGTGTAAGTGCTAAGTCAGGAGAAGTGTGTCTGCCCACAGATCTCTAACCCCTGGGCTGCCCCATACCCAGACAGGGAGGAGGCGAGCACACAGAGAGGTAGACACGCTTTAAATTGTGTATGTAAAGTCACGTATCTCAATCTACTGTATGAATATTATAGCTACTATTTTGTAATCCATTCATCCATATTCTGTCTTTTTCTCAGTTGATTCTGAACTTGCCTAACTGACATCGTTTTGACTATTTTAATCTGTGATAGAAAATTAAGGAGAGTACACAGGAGATTAGCAATCATTTAAAACAAACCAACCAAAGACACCCCCTTTAAGTCAGAAGCAGGATACACAAGTCTAGAAACTATTTTTTTCCCCTTTTCCCAAAGCCTTAAACACATGTCGACACATTTCCCACCCTTGGCCGGTTAGGGTGCTCCACCCCCTAACTTCTCCTGGGCTCCTAAGTGTCCAGTGATGGCCTTTCTGGCTGGACAGCTGTTTCTGGCCACTCTGCCATCTCGGCAAGTTTGGATTAAGTAACTTACTCTTCCAGTTACCTTCCTGGCCCCCTGTGCCAGACTGGACTTGGGGTACACATTGAGGCACGGGCCAGGTTGGTCATAGTGGCTTCGAGAGTGGTTTCCTCCATCTAAGGAGAATCCCCAGCAGAAGGCCATTCTCTGCCTTTCTGTACAAAATCAGCATCCACTCACCTGGCAGAAATCTTTCCCTGCAGATGCTGCAGAGCCGGCACAGATCATGTTTGCTGTGATGCCTCCTGAGTGAGCAGAATAGTAAGTGTGTTCACAGGCTTCTCGCTCCAACACAGACACTTGAATCTGCTGTAAACGACTTGCTAGGTCGCCATCTAATTAAGACACAGATTCAGACAGGGAGAGTTGGAGGAAGTAAGCAACACGTGATGTCAAGGAAATGTATTTAAGTTCAGCTTTGACATAGAATAGTGGGGGGAAAAACACAGGCGTTTCTGTTTTATGCACCCTGTCTTCATTTCCAGACTTGGCATCTCTATCATCGGCAGGCAAACAAGACCAGAAACATGTTTTCTATAGTTTATTTATAATTTAAATTTCAGTATATCAAATATTGCTGCATAAGAGTGCAGAAAGAAAAATTCAGCAAGGTGTGAATTGGTGTTATTATGTGTTTTATGATTATAAATAAATA